CTAGCGCAGATAGCCCTCGTGTAGCTTTGCGCGAAATTCAAAAACAAACAAAGAAACTATTATTTAGAATGTAGTTTTAGTTAGACATTATAAAATATCTCTTTCGCATTTTTTAACATGTTAACTGTTGATGGATAAATATAATAACTCCTTCTTTGGTTTTATGAAACAGTAAAAAATTCAGTTCGTAACCGTAATTTCATCGTATTTGTAAATGGACTGAGAAGAAAATAAAATACTTACCCAAATCACAGTTCCAGAAACAAAATTGTTTGAAAACAAAGTAATATTTATCTGAGCAAAATTATTTTTTAAAGTGAATTATGATAGTGGTTTAAGCTTTATATTTTGAGGGATCGACTTACTAGCTGGTGTGCTGTTTGAACTAATAGGAAGATATTTAATTTTGTCTGTTTTTGAATACTTTAATAAAAAGAGTTTTAAGTAATTTTCAATCTATAGTAGTATCGTTGTTTCAGACTCATGATATGTTATTGTGTCTATACTTGTGGCACTTTCCTCACATATTTATTAAATATTTATGTTTCAGGGTAAACACTTGGACAGAGCTTCGCAGGACACCGATGTGATAGTTCGGATTGGAATAAGCTTTTGTAACGTGACGTCTCTTTCTCGATCTCAGCTAACTTGTCGTCCTCCAACTTCTCAACCTCCAGATCGTGATTCCAATGGAAATCCTAATCCAGATAACATTCCACAAGTTGTTGTAAATATGTTAATATTCTAATAAGTTGATATAAATGTTCTAGAAAATTACATACCCACATTTGACATCGTAGCTTCGTTCGTTAAGTAATTACATGTACATTTTGAATTGTTATAAAAAAATGTTTTACGAAGTTTATGTTATTTTAGTTGTTTGAGCATCGTGTATTTCCTGGAGTTAATCTTCTGTTTTGAATGTAATAAATGTGAGTTATTACAGCATGGAAAAATGGATAGCTGTTTTTAATGGTTGTAAATGATTTAATTTACGGTTACAACTGTCTGTTTCTGATTAGCATAAATTTATAGTCAATAACCCATTCGCTGTAGCTGTGCTGTATATATGATTTAATCTTTAAATTTCCCACTTGAACTGGTAAGGGGTATTTATGAGTGTTGAGGCACTCTCCATCCACCCAAGCATTGTTACCGTACAGTGGGTCAATAATGTTTTGTCTTTTCTCCTTAGTACCTCTCATGATGCCAGTGAAGTCTGCAGTGTACAAAAGAAAAAAAGTCTGACCCGTATACATGACAACTGCAGTGAATGGGTTACCATAAATGAAATTACAGCAGCAGCCAGCACTAGAATTACCCTAAAACTGTAATTTATCTGTGTAGGTTGAAGTAGGAGACAACTTGAAGTACTCGATTGGATGGTTGAGTTACGAACTTCCTTCAGCACAAGATAACTCAATCTCACAGAAGCTGATTATTGGTGCCTTTGTTGGTGGCTCAGCCTTCTTATTGGTGGTTCTCATAGCAGTGATTCTCTACAGACGCAAGTCTATGGAAAGCAGCCGAGTTCTCAAAAACATGCAGGAACAGATGGATGTGTTGGAATTACGGGTTGCAAGTGAGTGTAAGGAAGGTGAGTATCCATGAGGAATAGATGGATGTGTTGGAGTTAAGGGTTATAGATGAGTATCCATGAGGAACAGATGGATGTGTTGGAGTTAAGGGTTATAGATGAGTATCCATGAGGAACAGATGGATGTGTTGGAGTTAAGGGTTAAAGGGAGTATCTGTCAGGATCAGATGGATGAGACTGAAGACAATGAATGATCTATTTTTATGTTCTCCAATGTATGTGAGAATAGACTGTGCTTATAATGAAGGTGTATGATATTATAAACATAGAAATAGGTAGTGAATGTGACAAACTATAGGGAAGTATGTTTATGCCACTTACTGGACCCAACTACGTGTGTATTTGAGATGTTCTGTTTTCATTGTGTAGCTTTTGCTGAACTTCAGACGGAAATGACTGATCTGACAAGCGATGTGACTGCGGGAGGAATCCCCTTCCTAGACTATCGTGCTTACTCAATGAAAGTTCTTTTTCCAAATTCAGAGGATCATCCAGTTCTGAGAGAAATGATTGTGAGTTTTCAGTATTCTTATGGCATAAAGTCCGCTTTGTTTACCACGTGTAGCACATGTTTATAAAATATCTTCCATGTAAACCTGTGCAAAAAAGTCACTCTTTCACGATTCATATCTGTATCTTGTTAACAAACAATAGAACAAGTGAACTTGTATTTGAAATATACTGTAAAAGAATTTTTAGCTTTTTCAAAGTTAATAATTTTGCTTATTTTACTAGTCATTCCATATCAACTGATGGAATTTATTGGATATTGGTATAGAACGACTCCAATGTACCTTAGTTTGTCTTGTATCCTCAGCTTTGTTTTTTAAACTGTGTGTGTTTAATAGTATATGTTTGTCCAGTTCATAAGAAAAACAATAATTAATTTATTTCTTTTTGTTTTAACATAGCTTGATCCTATAAAAAAACTGTACATTGAAAAAGGTCTTCGTCACTTTGGCCAGTTAGTAATGAACAAGACATTTCTCCTTTTGTTTATTCGGACTTTGGAGTCAAATCGATATTTCTCTATGAAAGACAGGTATTGTGGTCTACTGTTATATTGTAGTCAGTAACTAGACTTAAAATAAAATACATTTTGTCGCATGATAAAGGTAATTGACTTTTTCTTTCTCTTCTGAGACTAAAACAAACAGACAGTCTATTGCTACAAGCGATATTAAGTGCTATGATTTTCACAAAAATAAACAACTGTATATAGTACTCTCAGAAGTACTGTTAGAAAAAATAGATAAAGACACAAACATCATCTCTAACTCCACATCATGGTTTTTGAGCCTTATCATCCAAGATAATGAGAAGAAAATTGCTAGACAGAAACACATACAGTGTTAAATTAAGGAAACTTTCAAACAACGTAACTCGCAGCAAGATCTCCCCTGACCAAGTCGTCTTTAACTACAGCGACATCATCTTAAGTGATAGTCCGAGAACTGCATTAGGCAGAGGATTGAATTTCTCCATACCTTTCTCAAAACTTAATTACACCAATTACCTCTATCCCGGTGAGGCCCCGCATGGCCAGGTGGTTAGGGCACTCGACTCGCAATCTGCGGGTGCGATTCCCCGTCCCACCAAACATGCTCGCCCTTTTAGCCGTGGGGGCGTTATAACGTGACGGTCAATCCCACTATTCGTTGGTAAAAGAGTAGCCCAAGAGTTTGCAGTGGGTGGTGATGACTAGCTGCCTTCCCTCTAGTCTTACACTGCAAAATTAGGGATGGCTAGCGCAGATAGCCCTCGTGTAGCTTTGCGCAAAATTCCAAAAAAAAACTATCCCTGGGAATCCTTGTCTCAGAACATAAAAATCTTTACCTATTTTTTTTAAAAAAGATATACGTTTAGAGTAATATTCTGATTGTCTAAACAAATAATTTGGTATATTTCATTAATCTAATAGAAATGCAGCTATAAAAGAAGTTTTTAACATTTCATTTTTTTAACAATATGGTGGACACTTTTTATATGTTACTTATTTTGTATGCTTAATAATTTTGTTGCATGGTTCAGTCTGTTAGTGTTTTTTTTTATTTATAACACCAGAAAAAATATTTTTCTCTGCCACTAGAAAAAATGCGACTTTTTCTGAGTAACTTGATGATTCTTTTTTGAAAAGTCGTGTTGAAAATTACTGATTGCCACTAGTTTTCTAGTTATGATAGATTTATTTAAAATATTCCTTCATATTATGAAAACAACTTATTCTGGAAGACCATCCCCATGAGGTTCTGGTTTCATAGCAAACTCAATATCTGGATATTTAATGTATTATTTAGTTTTGCCTGAATATCCAGAAACATTAGTCATGCATAAATAACAGTAAGTTAGATTATCTTTGGGCTGACACCATATCATGGGAACTGTAAATGGCATACTTGCTCTCTTCTTATTCAGCCACTGTGTCAGCCAGATGTGCATACTGTACAACACACATGTGGAGCCCAATGTTTTTTCTTGGTCCCCAATTTTACGCCCAAAATAGTGATAGTAAGCTACCTTTACCTTGTATGTGTGATGTTCTTCCTTCGTGAAACTGCAATATATTTTCCACAAATGTAGCACAAACTATTTGGGTGTTTTTTGCACTTTCGTACTTTACTTTAACTGGAGGCAGCCAGCATTTCAAATGATTTTCTAAAAAATATAAAAGAATTTATGTTTACAGAACTAAAGCTTAAAGGATTTTAAAAAACAAAGTTTTGCAGAATTTAATTATATCATGGATATGATGCAAGAAAGATCAAATTTGTTTTAACTGTGTGCAGAGCAAGACAAAGTGACTAACTGAGTGAGTGAGAGGCGTCTGACTCTGCCCCTTTTATGGTCCGTCGAGGGAATTCTCGAATGCTCTAGCAAAGTGAGCACATGAGGGTTTCATGATTCCTTGGCGGATCAGATGAGCATGGGAATGGCGCAAAAGTAGTGCAATTCACTACAATTACGTCGAGAACAAATAACATATATGAAAAACGTATTGGGAATTTTACACCAATACAATACCTTCAATGTTTGAAGCTATCAAAATTGTATGTCTTTTACCCATTAAACTGTCCAAGTAAATATAATTTCACATCATAAATCTGTTGTCCTGAGTATTTCACATAGTGCTAACAAAATATTGAGATATTACTATAACTCAAAATATAGAGGTGATGGGCAAATTCTGACTACATTTTTGAAATCGGTGCCATCAATTCACCCTGAGTCACTTGGGTTTTCTCCAGTAGCAATTTTTTTGTTTTCCAATGTAATGCTTTTTTTTAACAAAAAACACATTTAATATCATAATGGAAAGTTAAGAATTGTTAGAGAAACATATCTTTTTCTAAAACCCATCATCAATACTGTTTTTTTGGTTCCAGAGTGAATGTGGCTTCACTGATCATGGTAACGCTTCAAGGAAAGATGGAATATAGTACTGAGTAAGTTCTTGTTTATCTCATTGTTCTGTGTAGGATGACGATGCTAACATTTACAAGGAATCGTAACTAAAACCTGAAGTTAAGGACGTAATAAAAGCTAAATAGTTCAAGATTAAAAGTTTATATAGAAATATTAGAATTGTAATCAATCCAACTAAAACGATATACAAGTTTAATGTTGAAATCCATACGCAGCGAATATTTGTAGGATGACAATGCTAACATTTACAAGGAATCGTAACTAAAACCTGAAGATTGTGGAATTGGTTAAGGACGTAATAAAAGCTAAATAGTTCAAGATTAAAAGTTTATCTAGAAATATTAGAATTGTAATCAATCCAACTAAAACAGTATACAAGTTTAATGTTGAAATCCATACGCAGCGAATATTTAGAGCTTCGGGAACTAATATATTACAATCGTAGGATTTGAATGATTCTTGAATAGAGAAAATAAACTATTTTATTAATATTATATCGTATATTATGATTTTATAAAATGTATGGCTGACATAAAAAAAAATATTTATATACATACACATGCAAAAACTTCACAGAATGTGTCCGTGTTTCAGTATTCTAAAGACCTTGTTGGCAGATTTAATTGAGAAATGTATTGAAGGAAAGAGTCATCCAAAGTTATTGCTGAGAAGGTGAGAACTTTAGTTTTTGTCTTTCATTTTTAGCTTTGGTAAATAAATTTTTTGTTCCGGGTGGCATGATTTTAATGAAAAGAAATAATATGTGGTATATTTTTTTATTATTATTGCCGTCCAATGGCTCAGCAGTCAGTCTGAAGGCTTATAACACTAAAATCTTGGTTTTTATACTTGCAGTAGGCCCATTGTATAGCTTTGTGCGTAGCAACTAAAAATCCAGACTCTGTTGTTATTAATATTAATGTTTTAGAGAGTACTGGGAAAACAAGTAAAGGTTATTCAAATATATAGTAAAAATGTTAAACTTAACAAGCTACCTACCCGGCTTGAAACTAAAATTCAATGTGGTGTTTATAATGATTATAGGTAATTTAATATACTTTCTTTACATTATTATTTATTAAGAATTGAATGCTTTGTTTTATCAATTTGGTACCCTCACTATTAGCAATGTTTTTAGCCATAATCCCAATAATATCTCACTAAGTTTGGCCAGCTTAAGAGATTATTAATTAGTTAGCGATTGCCGTTAGTGTTAAACAAATTTTGTTATTTTATCAAATTTAGTTCCAAAAATAGTGTTTTCATATTGTCACGGAGGTTGTTGTTTCTTTTCTCTTTTTAAAGCCTCTGTTAATCAATTAAAATCCTTTGTTTCAAGAAAAATATTTAAAGTGTTGCCTTCGTTTTAAATGCTTTCTCTTATTTATAGTGATTGAAGTTATAGTTTTTTTTACCAATAGAACTGAGTCTGTGGCTGAGAAGGTGCTTTCATCTTGGTTCACTTTTCTTCTTTTCAAATTCCTCAAGGTATGGTTATTTTCTGGCTATAAGAAGTTTATCTTTTGCTCAAGTTATATATCATATCCTTCCAGAAATTCTTGCATCATTAATGTAGTTAGTAGAGCATTCAAGCAAAATGTATAATTCGGTGTTTCGAATCACAGTTATTCTGATATATATCTGTTCATTAATGTAGTTAGTAGAGCATTCAAGGTAGTTAACGTCTAACTGAATTCAGTGCAGTGGACTAAACAACTATTTTCAGTTTAATTGTAATTTTTACACTGCTGTTAAGACACGAAATACTTAAATAATTAAAATGTTATTGTGTATCAAATACATACTTAGTGCATATGACTCGGCAATAGGAACTCGCTTGAATATTTTTATTGGTTTAAGTATAACTGACAATTATTCCAAATTAACTTTTCGATCCCCGTTTTTTCTAACAATAGGAGTGTGCAGGTGAGCCATTGTTTGTATTGTACAGAGCTATTAAACAACAAGTGGACAAGGGACCTGTTGATGCCATCACCAACGAGGCTCGTTACTCTCTTTCGGAGGAAAAACTCATCCGACAGTCTGTGGAGTACAAGTGCATGGTAAAAATGCAGCGATAATTACCTGTATTTCCAATGTTGTATTTGAATTACATCTTTTACCAATGTTCTGCTTGATAATTTTTGAAAGCTATATTTATTTAATCCTAGAATTAGTGGTTGGTCCAAATGTGAACACCAGTTGCTTTTTAACTATTCTTCTAAAATGTTAAAATATTATATTGCATGTGGGTTAATCACTGTATGGGCTACAGTCTGTAATATCATACACAAAAAAATGTAAACAAAAATATTACCAATGTTGTAATTAAATCCAATAATTACTGCTAGGGTTTGCTATGTATTTTATATAGAAAATTAATGATTTTATCCTTTTTTTGGCCAGATCTTTACTTTAAGTATTGTAACAGGTAAAAACATAAACTTACTCAGTATGATGCAATAGAGTAGTGGACCCTAACCAGTAGTGAACAGCATAAAAACGAGTTAGTGCAGTGAACCCTAACCGGTAGTGAACAGCATAAAAACGAGTTGGTGTAGTGAACCCTAACCAGTAGTGAACAGCATAAAAATGAGTTAGTGTAGTGTACCCTAACCAGTAGTGAACAGCATAAAAACGAGTTAGTGTAGTGTACCCTAACCACTAGTGAACAGCATAAAAATGAGTCACTGATGTTGAGAATTAAATGAACTGTCTGATTTTTAATCAAGATTAATAAAAATCATGTTGTAACTTTGTAACCTTGCCTAATATTACAAAGTTTTATTTATATAATATTGCACAAAGTTGTTATGGATGGACAACTTGTAGATAACTGTAATCATGCCATTGTTGACTATATGGAATTATTACCTAAACATAACCATGTGTTTTGTTGTTTAACTTTTTTGGGTTGTGTTTATATCTGTACTGTCATATACAGAAGTATTTCATATACATAACCAAGTGTTTTGCTGTTTAACTTTGTTGGGTTGTGTTTATATCTGTACTGTCATATACAGAAGTATTTCATATACATAACCAAGTGTTTTGTTGTTTAACTTTGTTGGGTTGTGTTTATATCTGTACTGTCATATACAGAAGTATTTCATATACACAACCAAGTGTTTTGTTGTTTAACTTTTTTCCAGACTGTGTTTGTATCAATGTCATCACAGACAGGATATGTCACTGGACTGGAACCTCCAGGAGAAAACATTGAGACACCAGTGAAGGTTTTAGATTGTGATACTGTCTCACAAGTAAAAGAGAAGGCTTTAGATGCTATTTATAAAAATACTCCATTTTCCCAAAGACCCGAGAAGAGTGATTTAGATTTAGGTAGGAATAACAAACTGGGATAAATTTTGGATATCTTTTTAGAAAATGTTTTTTTGCAAATTATCATATTAGCTAAGAAATAGAACAATGTACCGGTGTGTATACAATTATGTTTATTATTTTAATAAGTAAACAAATTTTAATAATTTTTCAGTAGTCAGTACGAAAAAATGTTTTGATATGAAATTTTTTATCTTTTAGCACTAGATGTGGAAAATATTCATGACTGTAAAATAAATAGGGATTAGTTGTATTATTATTATTTATTTCTGTGAATGACGGTTTACCAGACTGTTCTAAGTTTAACAGGTGCAATTTAGCAAGTCATTTTGATGTATTTGAAGCACAATAACTCAAAATTATTTTAAACTGAACACCAACTTCTCATCCAGTTTTAGCAATTTTCCTTAAATCGTTACAGTTTTTTCACATTAATAATACTTTAGCTAAACTAAACTTGGGTATTTCTAATAGACTTAAATCTAGTTTGTAAATTCAGAAAATAGAATTTTAGTATTGTTCCATATTCTGAAAATTATGCTGTTTTTTGTGTTGATGTTACAGAATGGAGAACAGGAACACATGGCAGACTGACTCTATCTGACGAGGATTCAACTTCAAGACTTGAGGGAGGATGGAGGCGCTTGAACACACTTAGTCACTATAAGGTTTGTTAACTGTATTGTTTTATACACTTAGTCACTATAAGGTTTGTTAACTGTATTGTTTTATCAGATACTGTTTTATACACTTAGTCACTGTAAGGTTTTTTTAACTGTATTGTTTTATCAGATACTGTTTTATACACTTAGTCACTATAAGGTTTTTTAACTGTATTGTTTTATCAGATACTGTTTTATACATTTAATCACTACATAGTGTACTTATTTTTGTGCATATTAAATTATACAAATGATTTTTTTAGATCTTATATTCTGTTTTTTTCTGTATTATTTCCAAGAAGGATGAAACCATCTTAACAAATCTTCCATGATGTCACATTTTCTCTTGTGGTATATATTTTATTTCTATTATAACCTTCTCCAGGTTCCAGATGGCGCTCTCTTAACTTTGGTTCCTAGACAGTCATCGATGTATAACATTTCAATTATGTCTGAAAAGAATGAAAAGTCTTACAAATATGGTAAGTCAGCTTTTGATTTTGGCTGACGTACGTGGGTTTACTAAATTGCTCTCCACATTTGTAGATTAACAAGTACGATGAAATATTTAATGAGGATTATTTTTTAAATGCTTCTCTTTCCCCCAACTTGGTTTGTATGGACTTCCAGTACGAAAAATGTGTGATGTTTATTGTTTTTTTTTTTTAGCTGTAGCCTTTTTGACATTAGCCTGACTAAGCTACAGCACTTTAATTCACATATTTAACATCACATATAACAGTTAGTATGAGTCGTTAAGTTAATAATGTGCAGTGCCACCATTGGTTGGTGAAATAAATAATGCTATACAACATTGCGATGTGATCTCATGTGTCACATTTTATCACAGTTTTCCCCTTAAATAAATATGCTTTAGCCAACATCGTTGTTAATCACTTTACAAATTAAATCTATTTATTTATTAATTTTTTTTGACGGTGACTTTCTATTTGTATTTGTTGAAAGTATTATAGAATGTAAACTTTTCTTGTTAGGTATTAACTTCATTCACACACACAAAGGTAGTGTTTAAAAGACCTTAGTATTATTAAATCTGTTCCTATACAACACTTTTATTTCAATTTTGCCAAATAAATATTATGATTTTTTCTTAGAAATTCACATTTCTTCTGAACAACAAATATTATCTTTATGTTCTTGAATTAGCTTTTTTTTATTCTTCAGAGACTCTCAACTTCTCAATGAAAACAAGCCCTCCTCTAAGCCAAGCTACATCACCCCTGAATCATGATCTTGAGACAAATTTTAGACCTTGGCACCTGGTAAGTTATACAACTAGGATTGAAATTTAAATAATTTAAATCTATTTTATAGGACTTAAAAACTCCAAGAACTATTAATAAAAATAATAAAATAATTTGATGTTTTAAAACTGTTTCCAGATTTAAGCTGGTTAATCTCTCTGTTTGTAAGTTGATAAAACGAAAACTTGATAAATTAAAATGCTTCATTGTTCTTGGTTGGTTAAAATATTTTTTATATACTTAATAATGTAACACAGAAACTTGTGATATAATTCAATATAAGTTTACTTAAAAGAAACAACGTCTTGCTTTCACCAGGCTTTTATCTGTTGATTGTTGAACTATTAATTATGAGAAGAAAAAATTGGAGGTTTTTGACTAGAAATACAGAAGATTGAGTATATTATCAAAACAGGTTTGATGTCTTGTCACATCATTGTGATCCATGCCACAAAGTCTGGTCGTACTCTTTCTGATGATTGTGTATCTTGACAATGGTCCTGTAGCATGGTTCTATTGCAAAAACTCTGCTTTAAGATGTCCAAAGCCTACCACTCCTGTTTGATGCTTTCCAATATCCATCTAATGTATGAAGACAGCTTTCTTTGATAGATTGTTTCCCAGCACCCATTTCAATGATTAGATTGTACATGAATCCAGAGGCAACCTTGCTAGTATGATTTCTTATGGAATAGCATGAATACCTGTTTCATTTTCTAACTTCTGGATGCAACAGTTGAATGGAAGGTACGACTGGAAGCCTAATTTGTTGAATTCATACCCTGTTGGCCTCATTTCCACATGAAGATCATTCTTGATTATGTCCTGTACTGTTGCTTGGAGCATGTGGATGGATTTTGCCACTGACCTTTTTGTTCAGGAATTCTCATCTGTTACAAGGTGCCACACATTGTGTTCTACATCTGGGATAAGACCCGTTTCAGGTCTGTTTCCAAATAGTCCTGGTGCCCCAAATTGAACCACATTCATTTATTTTGTGTATAGATTTAGAGTAAATTAAATGTTTTTCTACAAATTTTTTTTTCATTCATGTCATCTTAGTTTCATGTTTGTACAACAAATATAGCTCTTTGTTCAGTAGACCAACTGAAAAAAAAATTGGTAACAACTGAAATCCAATACTTTTTATAATGTAGTTATAGACACTACAATTTTAAATAATGTATCTTAGTCCAACAAGTAAATTTGTGGCATAGATGAGAATGAGCTAACCAAAACCTAACATTCACTGCTCTCATTTATATATTTATATGTCTTATAATTGTATTAACATCTTTCAAATAGTATCAGTGCCAGAATGTGTCACGTGATACGTCATAAGTATGTATTTCTTTCCACAGTAAAATCTAGCAGTATCAGTACCAGAATGTGCCACACAATACATCATAAGTATATATTACTTTCCACAATGAAATTTAACAGTATCAGTACCAGAATGTGCCACACAATACATCATAAGTATATATTACTTTCCACAATGAAATCTAGCAGTATCAGTGCCGGAATGTTCCACACATTTCGTTGTGGAAAGTAATATATTCTTATGATGTATTGGTACTGATACTGCTAGAGAATGTGCCACACAATACATCATAAGTATATGTTACTTTCCACAATGAAATATGTTTTATATAGTTAAAAAGTTTCGTTTTTTTAAGCTTGTTTTTGAATTCCTAAAACAAACAAAAAATGACTTCCCAGGTAAAGCATCATGATGCTGAACCAAAAGAAGGGGAAAGAGGGAACAAAATGGTGTCAGAGATCTACCTCACAAGGCTCTTAGCTACAAAGGTGAGTTGTAACAGAATTTCAGTCAGATAATTAGCTTAAATAATTGTACATCAGTGTAAATGACCAACTCTAGATGTAAACCAGCATTGCAGTTTTTGTATAATAACTTTCAGAATTGGAACTGAAATTCTACAAGTATCAGAGGACTTTTCATATAAAGATTGTGTGTTTTTCCCTAAACAACGCAGCCAAGCTTATACTAGAAACCAATTTGTAGAGAAAGGACGGCGTTAATTGAAACCTTTTCGGCTGAAACGAATAACCCAATAACTTTTATAATAAGTTAATATCATTTTTGATTAACAAGCTATTTTGGTTTGTACTCGTATAATTTTCTGTTCTTTCCGTGTGGCCACAGGGAACACTGCAAAAATTTGTCGATGACCTGTTTGAAACAATTTTTAGTACAGCTCATAGAGGAAGCGCCCTTCCTCTTGCTATCAAGTACATCTTTGATTTCCTGGATGACCAAGCAGTCCAACATGAGATCACGGATAGAGAAGTTGTCCATACATGGAAGTCAAATAGGTGAGATTTTATTTTCACTTGTGGATATCTTCTTTACATTAGTACCTGTTAGATGATCATATTTGTGTCAGGTTAGTGTTCCTTACTTTTTTTTAAAGTATAAAGGCAGATGAACAGCAGTTGCAAATGATCAAATTTCTCTACCGAATTAAAAATACTTACATTATAATGGGGTACAGGAGGAATTATTATAGTTTGAGGAAAATTATGGAGGGTTAACCAACGAATGTAAAACTCAACATTTAATCAGTAATTTTGTGAATGTTAATACTGTGGTTTTTTACAGTATAAAAAGAAAATTGTATTAATATATGGGTGGATGAATGGACAGAGTCCTAGACAGTGGAGGAAGGGAGACCCTATTTTGGGATAACATACAGGGGTCCTGATTACCCCAGTAAATTATTTTAAAAAGGTACAGAAAGGTAAGTATGAGAAAAAGTAAACAAAAGAAGACTGGGAAAAATGCCACACATTCTTGTCATATTCATACTGATATGTTTAAAAGAACAGTTATCTTTTGTGGCCTTCGAGAAATTGTACAGAGATTGTTATCTAAGTGATAATTATAACCCAACTCAGGCCTGTATGCAGAATGTTTGAAAGGGGTATAATTTGTGAGAACAAAAGCCAACACAGTCAGCATGTAAAGCATGCCAATGCTATGAGGATCAGAGGGCATGCGACTATTTCAAGCCAAAAAAAATGCTAGTGTTTAATCAGAAGAATATAGACTGTGTAAAAAATTTTAAATACCATAAGCAGCTGCACTATAACTATATGAGCATAATTTTTGACATCATAAAGATAGGGGTTTTTTGACAACCTTCTCTTGAGCGCCCCCCCCCCTGCATACATGCATGCAATTATGCAAAATTACAGGTAAACATGAAGACTTATTCATAGTAACACCTTCAATGTTCTACTCAACAACTAGAATATTCTAAACACTAATCAAGGTAGCCAACAGAACTAGAAGTTGATCTAAACAAGCAGAATATTTTAAACACTAATCAAGGTAGCCAACAGAACTAGAAGTTGATCTACTAAACAACTGAACATTGATCAAGTTAGCAGAAAAATTGCATTACATTAGTGTTAGAAAAAGGCTCCCCATAAATGTTTTCCTGTCCAGTAGCCCATAAAAAGTGACTCCCTTTCTTATGACTCCCCCCACCTTACATTCTTCCACCTATATGATTGATGGATAGATAGATGGAAAGGTAGATATGCATTTATATACACACACACACACACAAAAAAAAACATTGTTTTTTTTAAATATGACATATTTGCTATTGGTCGAAAAGCGGTGATGTAACAACACTAATGAGTTTGGTGATCAATATAATAGGCTGCTAGAAATAAAGGTGTCAGTTTAGTATATGTTTTATCTCTTTCTTTAACTATTTCTAATTAACTATGATTATTTTTGTACATTTTATCTTCCCACTTGGGTTAGGGGTTAATCTATCTTGTTCTGTACTTTTATAACTACGTGCAATTTTCTTTTTACATTTAACATACCACTGAGATTAATCCGTTTTGTTGTATACTTTTCTTATTTTATGTGATTAGTTTTTAAATTTTAACTTGTGCTGAGGTTTTGAGTTAATGTATTATTTTATTGTGTACGTTTCTAATTATGCATAATTTTTGTTTTACATTTTTTAGCTTACCGCTAAGGTTTTGGGTTAATCTCATTAAGAACCCTAATTTTGTGTTTGATATTAACAAATCAAACATTGTCGACTCCTGCCTGTCAGTGGTGGCACAAACCTTTATGGATGCCTGTTCTACGTCAGATCATCGACTAGGGAAGGATTCACCGAGTAGTAAATTGTTATACGCAAAAGACATTCCCATTTACAAAGATTGGGTAGATAGGTAATTGACCAACAGTTTTTGACTTCAATAACTTCAATAATGCGTATTTAAAACAAACAAAAAAAAACCAGTAAACTTCAAAAAGAACTAAATATATATGTTTGAGTTTTTAAATAATTTTTTAACGACAATAAGACCTCATATTAGAACGATACTTAAATGCAGAAAATACTTTAGAATAAAAATATTGCAACCCGAATATCAGTTAACTTTTTTAAGAAAAATTAACATTTTCTAACACTTTCAGATATTATCAAGATATCCAAGGTATGCCGGCTATAAGTGACCAGGATATGAATGCTATGTTAGCCGAAGAATCAAGAGTAAGTGTTGATAGAATTATTTGGGAATTTGTCGCCAGAAGACCAGTCACGGTATAATTACTGTTGTTAAAGGTTAACGATCCCTAGATTAAGTCTACCAAACCATCAAAACTTACTAACTCTGAAGGTAAATATTCTTCGAAATAAGTGTTCAAAAGGAATGGAAATAATTTTGAAAATTCTGGCATAATTTGGGGTCATGAAAAAGGGCAAAAATTGGGAAGAAAAAAGGTAGAAAGGGAAGAGTAAAATAGGAAAATTTTAAAAAGAACTCCATGTTGGGTATTCTTGTTGAAGTTGCTCTTACAAGGTGCTGTTCTCAACTGGTCGGACGTGATGAAAAATTAGGGACGAATTTAAGGAGCTTTGCTTTGAGGGTATGAGTAAAACATGTAATATTTAATAATAATATTTACACCTGACTGACAATGGCAACAAAAAAAGTTTAATAAAGCCGTGACTTTGGTTTTGTAAAGATAGTGTGGTAGATTATGGTGTATTGGTGTTAAGTCTTTTCTGATCTGTATCCGGAGTTTCGGTCTTCGTGGTGAATCATCTTAAAACGAAGATAGAAGGATTCTAGGAAGATATAGGTCATTAAAAATTTACCGCTGTCTTCTCAGTTGGGAAATAAATTGTTTGACTTGTATTTTCTTTTATAGCGGTTTATTTCATAGGATATTCTTAACGTTGTTTAACTCAAACTGGAGTTTATTATGAGACGTTTCTATAAACGTAAATAAAATCACGACCTATGCCTCCAGAACGTAACTTTATTAGCTCAATATTTCACTGTTACGCCTTCATCAGGAGCTATTGATAACCTACATGTTCACGAAACTAGTGAGATTTAGCTGGATTAGTTAACTTGTTGGCTATTAATAGCTCCTGAGGAAGCTGTAAATATGAATTATCGAGCTAATAAAGTTACATTCTGGAGACATAGGTCGTGATTTTATTTACGTTTGTAGAAATATTTCATAGGATACATTCTTATGTAGACCTAAATGTAACATCCTCAGAAACGTTACCACTTGGAAACAAATTGTTCGTATATCTGGCTTAAGCCTTTTACGGTTGCCTTAAAAAACTAATCCTTCTATTCTATAAAAACATTTCCAATATTTTGAATGTTTCCAAATTTAAATGTTTAGGTGTGACACGTGTGTATTAACCTGTATCTTCTAACGTTATTGATAATGGAAGATAATAAAATAATTTATTTTATTTTGTAATTAATTACACTGGATTATTCAAAAGTCACGTACCATCTGGGAAATATAATAACACATAATACATTTGTGATATTACAGTCATTGCCTTCCATGAGCTTTTTTTCTACCTTCTTTCTGTGTAATGTATAATCTATAATGTAATTTTCTTCATCATTCTGTGTATTCTGAAAATTGAGGATTGTTTAATTTTGTATATGTATTAATTTTTTGTAAATGTTTTGTTTAAAGTTGTTACACGTATGTCTTAGACCTTTTTTTTAAATGTCTTCTAGGCTGTTGCTTCGATGTTTTAATTTACTAATTGCATATAAAAAATCTGAATGTCATTTGAATAAATATAGTTATCTATTCTGTCAAGGTGCCCCCCCCCATCCCAGTGGCACAACGGTAAGTCTGCGGACTTACAATGCGGGTTTCGATACTCGTGGTGGGCAGAGCACAGATAGCCCTTTGCGTAGCTTCGTGCTTAACTATAAACAAACAATCTGTCAAGGTGGCTTTAAAAGGTTAAACAGATAAACTTAAAACTGATATAACTATGAGCTTCGTGTGAAGTAACTTTTTGTTTTATTCCTAAACATGAGAAACCATATCATTTTGTTTCCATACTAAGTGTGTTCAATTTATTAGAGAGCTATTGTATTGTTATCTCTACTTGTGGACTAATAAGTTAGCTTAGACACATTTATAAAAGATTATTTAGCTTATATAACCTTTGAGGTTTCATTAACAGAATAAACAGGTTGTTTAATGGCTCATTTTATTTAAATAATATTTCTATTTTTCAGCAACATGCCCATGAGTTCAACACAAACGTTGCTTTACATCATCTCTACAGCTATGCTTTGAAATATAATGATCAGGTAAGGGTATAAATACAGTATCCTGAAGTCATAGCTCAGAATCTGTTGCCACCAACATGTTATTATTCTAACCAATTATTCAACTTTAGAAGTGGAACTTGATCAAAAAAATAGTAACATGGTGGCAACTGTAGAAGTGGAAATTGGTCAAAACAATAGCCACCACCATGTTACTATTGTTTTAATCAAGTTCCACTTCTAAAGTTGCCACTAACATGTTATTATTGTTTTAATCAAGTTCCACTTCTACAGTTGCCACCACCATGTTACTATTGGTTTTGATCAAGTTCCACTTCTAAAGTTGCCACCATGTTATTATTGTTTTAATCAAGTTCCACTTCTAAAGTTGCCACTAACATGTTATTATTGATTTTGATCAACTTCCACTTCTAAAGTTACTACCACCATGTTATTATTGATTTTGATCAAGTTTCACTTCTAAACTTGCCACCAAGATGTTACTAATGTTTTAATCAAGTTCCACTTCTAAAGTTGCCACCAGTGTGTTATTATTAGTTTTGATCAATTGAAATTTTATCCTTTTGTTTGTTCTGTGAGTTAATATTTCCTTTTCTTTATCATTACTCCTGTGTTTTATAATCATAAAATAGTTCCTACCATTTTTGTGTGAATTTTAATAAACGTGGTCTTCTCATGTATGAAATATTATTAGATTATTAAATCATACAGTAATTTAATTGTTACTTGATTTGAAGTTTTTTGGTTAAAAAAATATGTATCTTTCGTCTCTTGGTTATGCATAAGTGTGAAAGAAAAGTACAGGTAACATTTATAATAATTAAAAAAGTGACTTTGTAATACTTCAAATGAAAACTAACTAACTAATGAAGAAATACTGATTAGAATATTTTTAAAATTTAGTACAGTTGACACCTTCAGTAGTTTCTATTTACACACATTTTTACCAAAAGCAATAAAGAATTAAAGATAGTGTAAACCATAATTACAGAATTTATTACGACCATAGTTTCGCCAGTTAAGGCATCATGGTCGTAATAAACGATGTATTTGTGAAACAGACAATTGTCTTGTTTTTTTTTCCTCAATTCTGTAATTATGGAGTTTCGCCAGTTACCGACGGTTTCAAGTATCAATTATAATAACTATAATTAAAATATATGTATATCATGCACTTTACAATCTGTTCTCTTCATCCCTCATAAGTATAACGATATTAAAATTTATAAAAACAACTTGATTGTTATTAAGATACTTTGTTCATTGTTGTTCAACACGTATTCTATTCGATAATCAACTCAGATTTATTCATTTGTTTTTTTCGTCCTTTTTTTTTTTCTTGTTTTCTAGTTGATGGTCTCTCTAGAAGAAGATGAATTTTCCAGAAAAAATCGTTTGTCGTTGAAATTGGAACAGGTGCATGCCATTATGACAGGGGAGTCCGAAGCTTGACTTTTTTGGTAGTGGTCATTAAATGTTAAAATCAAAACAGTGGTCAGTTTAGCTTTTCTGTGCCATGCTTTCAGGAAAGATTGAACAGTTAACTGTTGAAAACAGTTGTGAGGCCTCGAAGATTGCTGATACTGTTTATAAACGTAACTGTAAACAAAGGAAAAAAAATAACTTCAACTTAAACCACTTAAATCTTCAGTACTACTTTATAGATTACAGAGCACCACAAGTTCCGACCAATGAGGAAAGCTCTTTCATGAAACTAATGGACAGATTTTCAGCTCAATGACCCCGGAGTTTTTTTTCCCCTTTGGGCAACCCAAGCATGGGTTGCACAAAGGACATGTTGCTAGCCTGTGCCTCTTGCATTTTGATCATAGAAAATTCTTACCAGTCATTTAAAGTGCCTTTGTGATTGGTCACACCCTGCCCTCCCTATCTCCTTTAGGTTTCTTTTGGATTACAGTTTGAAAGCCATCATTATCATCGGTCGTCTTCCAGAGGTGTTTGCTTGGTCCTTTCTTTTTTCATGTTCCGGGCATCTTACTTCAGTTTCCTTGCACCACAAAAATAGTAGTTGAAGGCTGTGCACATTTGGTGTGTATAACAGCATGGTGTATACTTGGGATATAATTTTGGCCAATATCACAACCCATTATGTCTCTATAATAATATATCAAACATGCTTACCCTTTAAATCACCGATTTACTGAAGTATTGATTCTATGAAGAACATTGTGTATATGTCTGCATGAGATGAAATTGACTAGGATTAGCCAGTGTGCAGTTGGATTAAACTGTTTTTGGTTGTTTTTTTGTAACTACTGTGATATGTGTTGTACAAATCATTTATTTGTCACAGAAGCAGTAATATCTAGCACAAATTGTTTGAACTAAAAACCATTTACAAAAAAAAAGAAATTTGGTGAGTACATTTTTAACCAATGATGATGGTAGATGTCAATTATCAACAGAGATAATTTGTCAGTATTTTGGGAACGTTTTCTTTGTGCCTTTGTCTTCGTTTTGTTTGACGTAATACTAGTAACTTCCCTTGGTTACACAAGTACAATATTTCTTACCAGTAGAATCATACTTAAAAACTGTTGATATTGTCTGTAATGCACCAATAGACTGTCCTCGTCCTTGGTGTATTAGGAAGTAAGATACGTTGCTATGGGAACAGTGGTTGTCATAGAGACCTGAGGACTATTTATAAGTCCTGACTGTTGATATTGTTTGTAATGCACCAACAGACTGTCCTCGTCATTGGTGTATTAGGAAGTAAGATACGTTGCTATGGGAACAGTGGTTGTCATAGAGACCTGAGGATGCCTTTGATTGTTAGGAAACAATTGAGTGTTCATTAGGGTGTTGATGTATCCTGCAGATCATGTGGTGTCAAGTTTCCTGAAAATTTCCCCTTTAGGCTAGTTTGCTTCTTTGTGGAAAAGGCCAGAAGCGAACATATATATATATAATATGTGTATTAAAAGTTATCACGTATAGAAATTTCGTTTCATGGAATCTTTTGTATCTGGTAGTCTAACTAACAGTTATGTTCTAGCATTGAACAAAAAAGCCTATTGGTCAGTAAGCGACGTGTGGGAGACAGAAAATAGATCTGAAATGGACAAATTAAGAAGATTGTGGAAAAAAAACAAACATCTACAGTTCATTTGTTTTTATAAAAATTGTTAGACCTACAAAAAATATTATTGGTTTTCTCTCTCATGAAGTCTGTGGATGTTAACTCCATCTACATTTAAAGTTGCCACTTTTTAACTATAACTTGATGAAATAATTTTCTTTAAAAATAATATTGAAACGTTCAATAATATATGTATTATATAATCAGGTGTAACGGCTGTTTTTGGCCCTACACACAAGAAGTAGGCTGTCTTTAGGAGATTTTGTGCGTGTGTGTGTGTGACTCTCTTTACCTCCTGGTGAGGTTCAACTGTTTTTTGTACAACTTAAAGACTGTAAAATATTTATAAAATATTTTTATTAAGTTAACTGACTAGACAATTCACTATCTTGCTCAAATAATTTCTTGCGTTCAAATGGTGTATGTAAAAATAAAAAGCTGAGCTGAAAAAACGTGTCTCTTCTTCTTACTTTTTTTAAATGTTTTGTTTAAAGTTCGATGACGAGGAACCCACTTGAGACTAATAATGGCTGGAGACGGCTTGAATGGGTAATGAAGAAAAACTTTAATATAACAGCAAATGTACAACGTTTCGACAAGGTTTTGTCATCCTCAGGAATATGATGATGACAAAACCTTGTCGAAACGTTGTACATTTGCTGTTATATTAAAGTTTTTCTCCATTACCCATTCAAGCCGTCTCCAGCCATTATTTGTTTAAAGTTGTTGCACAACCTGCAATT